ATTAAGCTTTGTGCTTGCATTTTCTTTTGCTTATAACAACAAATAAAGCACAGTTCCTTTGTAGGAGGATCATTGGGAAGAAGGTAAAGATGGTGGAAAAAACAGAATGGATTCACTTTTAAAAATTTTCCAGTAAATACTAGACTTCTGTCAAAAATGTAGTATACTGATGCACAGGGTTGGTTTGCTGCTGCTGATATGCCTTTCCTGCAGGATAAAATTTGTAGTTAACTCCTGTTCTAGCATAGGAAGTACAGAAGTGATTTTTTTTTTTTCTTCAGGGATGTTTGTTCTATTCTGATTAATTAATAACTGAAACACTACTAATGTGAAAACCTTGACAATGATCATAACTGTTCTACTGTAGTCCAGGAGATGAATTTACTAGATAGGGTGCAATGAATATTTACTTGTAATTTTACTAATGAATAAAATTAATAAATATGCTTAATCTGGAATTATACATTTATAATTAGTAAACACGAGAACAGGGTTTTAAAAGTGGGGAGGGAGGGGAAGGGAGGAAAAGAAAAGAAAAACTTGTAACAAATGATAAGACTGATTTGTTTTGATTTTAGGATTTTCTGGAATGTGCGAATGAATGTTGTATTCAACATAATGTCCAACCTGTAAAAGCTTTCATAGAGAAAATGATACAGACATATGAAATGATGATTGTTAGACATGGGTAAGGTTCCCATTACTGTTTCACAAGCTATATTTGTCGTCATTTGGGTTTATACCATGGTTATCGATATCACATAAAAAAGGTCTTAATGGTAGCAAAATGTTTGTGTTGAAACATTTGGTTACCAATACTACTTTAACGTGTACCGAAATTCTTGTGAATCTAATGTCCAGATTTTGGCCTGGATAGAGCTAATTTTCTTAATAGTGGCTGGCATGGTGCTGTGTTTTGGATTTAGCATGAGAATAATGCTGGTAACACACCGATGTTACAGTTGTTGCAGAGCAGTGCTTATACTGAGTCGAGGACTTTGCAGCTTCTTGTACCACCTGCTAGTGGGCAGGCCTGGGGTGCTCAAGGAGCTGGGAGGGGACAGAACCAGGGCAGCTGGCCCAGCCTGGCCAAAGGGATATTCCGTGCCACGTGGCATTGTGTTGAGCAATGGAACTGGGGGGACTTGGCCAGGGGGGCTGCCATTGCTCGGAGATTGACTGGCCATCAGTCAGCTGTAGTGAGCAATGGTGTTGTGTGTTAGTTATCAGATCTCTGCCATTCTGTTCCTAGGGGGTGGGTGTGTGTGTGCATGTTGTAAAAATCACGCAGATTCACAATATAGGCTTGCAAGTTCATGTATGATTTTGAATGCAACATCTTTAAAAAGTTATTTTCTAGGTATGTGGGGCAGATCTACCAAAATACTTGAGTATATGGATGATGATGTTGGCCTTCATATGGTCTGTAAAAGTAAAAATTGCAAGACATCTATTAATAGCTTTTAATTTTATTTTTTTAATTATTATTATTTTTTCTTCCATCTAACAGCTTTATGCTAGTCGGGGAACCATTTTCTGGGAAGACCAAAGTTCTACATGTGTTGGCAGATACACTGTGTCTTATGAAAGAGCGTGGTTATGGTGAAGAAGAAAGAGTAATTTTTAGGACTGTCAATCCAAAATCAATCACTATGGGTCAGCTTTTTGGACAGTTTGATTTGGTATCTCATGAGGTAATGCATGTTTTTAAAATAGTGTGTATTAATTGCCTGTCTTTATCTGTTTCATCCTGTCACATGCTGTGGCTTTTGTGGGACTTGTATGAACGTACTTTTTTAAACTGCATTTTAACTTTAGGTTAACTCATTGTGTTATTGCACAGCTGTTTTCAGGCCAGGAAAGGCATCTGCTTCTGACTTTTAAGTCCCACTTCCAGACAGTGTTTCTTCATTCTCTGGAATCCAGTGTTTGTAGGGCTCTACTGTTAATAACATTACTGGTTCATTGGTTTTAAGAATCAACAAGCAGATATAACAGTATGTGATTTTTTCTTTTCTTTTTTTTTTTTTTAAACTATTCCTGTATATGTGAGACCTCCTTGATTCTTGATAGTAAACAGTTGAATTTGTGGTTTTTATCACTTTAAACGCACATGAGAACACAATTTTAATTAGTGTTGTTCTAACTCAGATGGCTGGTTTCAAATTAGTGTTGAAAATGCAGCAGTAAGTGTGTATGTAGTTACGTAGGTTTAAATATGCAAAATAAGCAATGCCATTCTGAGAGGCGTTGTCCTAATATAGCTCTATCCATGCTAGGGAGACATACCAAACTTAACTGGATTAATTTCTCTGTCAATTCTGATCTAGTATAATCAAAGAAGTGCCAAAACAATCTGGAAAAACTTATAAACCCATCAGTTCCCCACTGTAAAACTTAGGTTTGGAGAAGAAAGAATATAGAAGAGTGAATATGAAATACTGAAACTTAGGATGAGTCTGGGAAGAAGATGATGCAAGCCAGAAAAAAAGTACTTCTAACTTTCTGTGAAATGAATTCACTGTCTTCTGTTTTAACAAAAAGTATTTTTAAAGGCAAAAGATCACTGTTTTTAAATTTGCTGATGTTGTGTGCCCCTTTGTGAAACTGTAAAGCTGTATTCTGCTCTCCACAGAGCAAGAAAATTGTTAAAAAGAAGAAAAATGAAAAGGAATAGCTTACTTTTTTTTTTTTTCAGTTCAATATGAACAGTCTTTGGCAAGTACTTACTAATAGGATTACTGGTAGTTTAATTTGAAATATCTATACTACTGTCTTTTTACCTTTCATTCCTACATTCTCCCCTTCTAGTGGACAGATGGTATAGTTGCTAATACTTTCAGAGAATTTGCATTATCTGAGACTCCTGAACGCAAATGGGTTATCTTTGATGGCCCAATTGATACTCTGTGGATAGAAAGCATGAACACGGTTCTGGATGACAACAAAAAGGTATCAGTGCAAATAAATGCCTAAATGATATATGACATTTTGAAACTATTCTTCTACATATAAAAACACAAAAGGAAACAGGAAAACTTGGCATTTCAAATACAAGGTGGCTTTGAGAATAAGTCGTTAAGTTTTGTGTCTGTTTTTTGTTGTTTTATTTTTTCTTTATTGGAATCGTAATCATAGTATCATCCCATAAGACGTTTAATGTATAGTATTCCCTTAATATCAGATGTTTGTAATGAAAATGAATAATTCAATTTTAAATTAAAAAAGAAATACAATTAATATAAAGTCCACAATTTCAAAAGTTGTCACTAATTAAGTTTCTGCAATTCCAACTGAAGACAAAAAAGGTTGCACTTTCAATATTAAATTTTGAAGTTAAAGTTATAACCATACAACTTCTGAAAATGGGCCTTAAGAATTTGAAAGTGTATATAAGAATTACAGATGACATTTTGAGTTTAAATTTTGGATAATTTGTGAAAATACTTGATTTGAACTATTGTCATATACAGGGTTGATAGTTATTGGTAATGAACCTACTGGTAGGATGATGGGGAGTACTATGGTGTAAGTGAAGAATTTAGGTAATGCTTGTAAACTACTGTTTTTTTTGCTCCAAATTATTAAACATTTTATGTGGTTGGCATTGCTTCTGATTAAAGTGGGATTTGCTAATCTTCATGTATACATCCAGTGTGATAGGAAGGGTAATTGACAACTGCGTGTTTTCTTTTTTTGTAATCTTACTTGTGATTTTTTCGTAATTGAAGCTTTGTTTGATGAGTGGAGAAATCATCCAAATGTCCCTTCAGATGAGTCTAATTTTTGAAACAATGGACCTTTCCCAGGCATCTGTAAGTTCTGTATTTAATGGAAATATAAAACTAAGTTCAATAAATTAAATATATAATAAAGCAAGTTTACCATTCTTCCCTAGCCTGCTACAGTCAGTCGCTGTGGCATGATTTATTTGGAGCCTTCACAACTAGGCTGGACACCACTTGTTACCTCTTGGTTAAGTAAACTGCCTGAACCTCTTAACCTAAAGGTACATCAAGATCTTCTGCAGGGACTTTTTGATTGGTTAATACCACCAGCATTACAGCTCCGTCAGAAACAGTGCAAGGTATTGTTTGTGATTTTTTCCTTCAGTAGTTAGGTGTCCACTTGTATTCTTGTTACTTGGGTAGTGAGAGCTGTTCTCTCTTGATGAGGATAATTACCGTGTCCATGCAGCAGCCACCCATTATTTTGGGAAGTGCAACTGTTGTATCCAGTGTGAAAAGCTGGAAAGAGAACATTAGATAAGATGTGTTGTAAGTTCATCATAGTTTCTACCTTGTTCTTTTCAAAAATTAATCATTTAAAGTATTGAGTGGAAAGTCACCCTTTTTTGCATTTTTGGTGGTGCTTTTCTGTGTTTTTTTTTTTTTTTTTTTTTTTTTTTTTTCCTCTAAAGATGTTGTTTTGAATAGAGAAAGCACTTTTTTAAGTTTTAGGGAAATGTACATGTATTTTTTTTTTTTTCAAACTGTGCATTTTTTAGTGCATGCTTTTTAGTGCATGGGCTTTTGCTTGTTCATTGTTGTAGTTGTTTCTGTGTGTTTTTATTTTAAAATGTAAGAATTGGAGGTCCCATGGTAGCCGTGAACATGGTTAACAACCTATATGTTGACATTTCAAGGCTAGAAAGAAGTAAATGATCTTTTGAATGAAAATCAGTGAAAATCTTGCCTCCGAGTATTTGTTCTGAATTAGCTAATTGTTTAATTACTTTAATATTTTGACTCCAAAATGTAAGCTAACTTAACTCAAAGTATAATACCCCTCCTTTTGTATCTCTTAGGAACTGGTACCTACAAGCAATAGCAATACTGTAGTAGCTCTTACACGGCTTTTTGAAATGTTGATCTGTCAACCTGTACAAGAAGATCCCACCAACAAAAACATCCATGTGTGGATTATGGTTGGTTTTGTGTGTTGTTTTTGTTTAGTTTTGTTTGTTTATTTTTTTAATCATGCTCTTTAGACCAAGTTTATTCAAGGGCAACCTGTAACACCTTTATTCTTAAATACTTTCCAGAATTGTTTGTTAATGAGACTATACAGTGTTCAGATTATGTCACCTTTTTAGACAGCTGCTCATCTTTTTGCCTTTGCAGGGTTGCTTTGCTTTTGCCACAATCTGGTCCATTGGTGGGACTTGTGATGGTGATAGCAGAATTATTTTTGATAATTTCTTGAGGGAAACTTTGGCTGGAAAATCTGGAACAAATCCTGTACCAAAGGTAGTGGGAAAATGGGAATGTCCCTTTGAAGAGAAAGGCTTGGTCTATGACTACGTGTTTGAGGTAAGATTGCATGCTTCTGTATTGACTGAAGTAAATTTTTACAGTCTGAAAGGAAGGAAAATAGAGGTAGATGTATATTTTAACTTTACAAAGATTGTTGTAATTTTTTCCAATTTTTTTTTTTTTTTTTATACAATACCAAGCTGTGCACATCAGTTATGGTCCCTTTTTAGATAAAGCTAAGCTGACAGGGTCAGGTCTGGTACTGCATAGAAGGAAAGATGGCTACTTTCTGTAAAGAAGGATATTATGTCTGTGGGCAACTTGTTTGTGTTACAGTTGTGTTTATCGTATCCACTGGAAATCTTAGATTCTACGTACTGGTTTAAAGTTAGGCATATGTTCTTCTGTGTTTTATTATTATTATTATTATTAATTATTATTATTTTGTATGGTTGCTTTTTGTTTCTGTTTTGTTTCGTTTTTTTTTTTTTTTTTTCTTTTCCTAACCAGAAGCCTTAATTTTACATCTGTATTTTTTCCTAGCTGAAAGGCAGAGGATGTTGGGTTCATTGGAATGGATTTATTAAAAATATTAATTACAGTGATAAAAATTTGAAGATTCAAGATATCATAGTCCCAACTATGGATACAGTCAGATATACCTATTTGATGGAACTGTTCATTGCCCATGGAAAGTAAGTAACTTCAATACAAATTTCAGAACTATTTATTGTATGTAGAAACATTTTTTACTCTTTCATTGACTTCATGTTTTTTATCAAGCCCTCAAGGTTTGTTTGGCCTGTTAAAAATAGGCATTTATTATGAAGAATACAATTTGTTGCCTTAAAGTCTAGGTTTGTTTTGTTTTGTTTCAATGAAGTCCTGTTATAATTCTGCTTTAGTGTGTTCATTCTATGTCTTTCTGATAATTCAATTACAACAGCTTGAGGAAGTTTTGTACTCTTTTTTTTTTTTTTCTTTTTTTTTTTCTTCTTTGGTACTGAAACATATATTTTTCTTTGATTTGTCCTAAGTTAAAATCAATTATATTACATATATGTGTGTGTATAAATATATTATTATATATTATTATACAAAAGAACAGAATGTAACAATTTCAGATTGAATTTCAAGGCTGAAAGTTTTATGAAGTTTAAATTGCTGAAAGACCTATCAGTAGTAATTTAAGTTCCACAAACGTCTATATATACTCCAAAACCAGGAGAATGAGAGAATGAGAAATGTCTCCTTCTCTACCTCTGACCCCTTTGTCAATTACAAAGAGGTTATGTGAACAAGTATTTTAAAACATTATAGCTTCTTTTTTTTAAGGCATTTAATATTTTTAAAGATAGAACTTAGAGCCTTTGTCTTTTACTTGCAATTAATTTGTAGTTGTTCAGATTTCTGTGGTCTATGCTTTCTTTCTTTCTTTCTTTCTTTCTTGGTGAAGACCACTGCTTTTAGTGGGACCGACAGGTACTGGGAAATCTGTATATGTCAAGGACAAGTTAATGAACAACTTGGAAAAGGAGCGCTATTTTCCCTTCTTCATTAATTTTTCAGCACGAACCAGTGCCAATCAGACTCAGGTTGGTAGAACGGACAATCTGTGCTTCAAAAATATGATCTATATAAATATTTAATCTGTGTTCTGAATATTCCTGTCTGCATTGTAGAACATTATTATGGCCAGGCTGGACAAGAGGCGTAAAGGAGTCTTTGGCCCTCCAATGGGAAAAAAGTGCATTATTTTCATAGATGATATGAATATGCCTGCCTTGGAGAAGTATGGTGCACAGCCTCCTATAGAACTTTTAAGACAGTTCTTTGACCATGGAATTTGGTAATTATTTGAAATAAAAGTGAAAAGTTCAAGTTGCTGCATTTGGTGATATAATTATTCACTTGAATTTTCTTTTCAAAACTTTCTTAAAATGCTTTGTAAATTTTATGATAGCTTTGCTTTATATGAAAAACATTTAAAGTTGAAGCAACTTTTATGTTGTTCTTTAAGTGATTTTTCAATTTAGGAAATTGATTTTTTTTCTTTTTTTTTTTTTTTGTGCATGGGCTCTTGCTGAAATTCAGTATTTTTATGTATAAAAAAAACAATTCTTTTACACTTTAATTTTTCTGTGTCAGCATTTATCCTTGTTTTTACTTTTTTCAGTGTTCTTTGTTACTTTCCATTCTCTTCCTCCTCCTCACAGTGAATTGGCAGACCTATTTTTTAGAATGCAATTATATGTAACTTTTGATTTTACTCAATACATTGTTTTTTACTGATATCCAAGATTCTCTTGCTCATTAGAATATTTTTAATTACCTTCTTTTTTTTTTTTTTTTTTTTGAATAACATTGAAATCAGATCTGGTAGTAGGCATGAAGAGAAACAAGCTATATCTCTTCCTACCTTTTGAGATTTTTTGGCTCAGCTTTGACTGGAAGAATGAACCAGGTTGTCTCTTGGGGTTGCTTCCAGCCTGAATTACTCTGTGATTCCAGGCACTTCCTGAATAATGTTACTTTTGTGATTTCAGGCACTGCTCAAATGTCTGATACTCTTGAACAGAGAGAATATATATTTTGCCACACTACAGTTTTAAATATTTGTTTCAAAATTTCAGATCAAGTTTTATTTAACCCTTATTAAACAAATAATCTTTCTTTCAGGCCAGCTCGATGTGTTAAGATGAGCTTGGGCATAGTTAGTTACAAGACTAGTTTGGGGTTTCATTGTTTTTTGGTTTTAATTGTTATATTTGTATATGTATGTACATATGTTATGCACACAGAGAGCATTCTGTAGTATGGGTGCATTTAACCTTTAACAAATGTGTTTATATCTTTCTCTAACTAAATGTCACATTACAATTTATTTTGCAGGTACGATTTAAAGGATACATCTAAAATTACACTAGTTGATATACAGTTACTTGCTGCTATGGGGCCTCCAGGCGGTGGGAGGAATCCTGTTACTCCTCGATTTTTGCGACACTTCAACATTTGCACTATTAATTCTTTTAGTGATGAAACAATGGTCCGCATCTTCTCTACTGTAGTATCTTTCTACCTACGGGCTCAGGAATTTACTCCTGAGTTCTTCTCAGTTGGAAATCAAATTGTTGCTGCCACTTTAGAGGTAAGAGGAGAGTACCTTAATGGCAGTTTCCTTTAGTTTGTTTAGTAAAATTCCATTAGCTTTATAATAACTTAATTGGTGAAATAGAGATTTTAGATATTTTGTTCCTTGTTATTTTTAACATACAGCCTCATATGCTGTGATAAAATTATCTCAACTTTATGGCTGCAGTGACCTTCTTATTCTAGGGAAAGTCTTTCTGAATGTATGTGAATAAGGGCTTCATGGTACCTATCCACATACATCAAGTAGGTCAGACTGCAGTCTCTTTGGGGTTAGACAGGCACAAGAAGCTATCTCATGCAAAGGCAAAATGAAAATAGCAGTTGCAACACTCCCCAGATCCTTCTATGAGAGACTAAGATCGAAGAAATCATCCTTTCCACTTCCGTGGAGACTCTTTCAACTTCCATGTTGCAGATTTTGGCAGGTATCATATCTGCAAAAAAGGAATGGCAATTTGTGACATCTTTGCAAAGAAGCATCAATTTGAAGACAACATCTTACATATACATATAGATTTAACAGCTTATGTAGCCAAAACTAGTAGCAATGTTAACAAATCTAATGCCTACCATTAAGTATTCAAAATTGAAATGCATCAGGTAGCTAATATTTGGCTGGTGAGGAATTCTGACAAAAAATCCAATAAGCTCCAAAGGCAAAATCAAATGGCTCAAGTTTCATAGGGGATATGAGTTTGGAATTATTAGCAAGTGACTTTCTCTTCTGCTGCAGAACTGAGGCCTTTCTCACACTTACACGCTAGTTCTGCTTATACCCAAGGCTGTATTCAAGACTGAATCCACCTTGTTCCAAGGCCTTATAGAGCCGATATTTTGGAACGCCTGCCAGATAAGACATTCAAAGTATGAATGATGTGAGGCTGACTGAATATTGCCACTGGAAATCTCTTTGTGCTTTCAGTTTATCCTTCTAAAAAAAAAAGGGGGGAGAAATTTGCAAGAAGGTTTTGCTTCTTTCAGCAGAAAATAATAGTAGCACCCCAGTACAGTTATTACATACAGCTGTTTGAGTGCATTTGACTATATATACTATTTAAACTGTTTACTTCTGTCAGGATAGAGAGTCTGTTCTAGCATGGATTTACATCCAAGACAGTAGTATCTTCTGACTCCTGGGATTAAAGTGTAATGGAAGAACTAGGCTTTGGATATGAGATAGCAGGTGAAATAAGTGTGTAGACAGTACCATGGATATAGTATGACTGTTAAACTTTTGTTTTAGCGTTTTGTTTTGGTTTGCAAGTTTAATGTTTGATAATTTTCTTCGTATGAGTACACAGAGACAGATCAAAAGCGTCCTCTGCTGGCATTCCCTTAACATGTTACGTATGTTAAATGTAATGTCAGATGACATTAGTTCCATCGTACAACATAAGCTATTGACAACTGATACATTCAAAGTTACAGTAAAACATCATCAAAAGATACTTTTCTTAATCTGACTTCATTCACCATTTTTGTGGGTTTTCTTTTTAGTTTTGAGTAATTTGTAGGTATACAAACAAATAGATTCAAACACCTGAAAACTAGGAAATTAGCATTACATAACTGATTACTTATCTCATTTGCAAATTTAGATTAATACTGCATATATGTTCCAGAACTTCATGAGAAGAATCTGATATATTCACAGGACTTTGAGATCTTTGGACATTATTAGGATTTCTGAAATGTGTGAAATGTTTTCTTAGAAAAATACACTTTTGGAAGAAAGACATTTAAAAATATCTATTCTAATAATACAGTCAGTGATAATGTCTTGTCAATTTTTGCTCATTTTTTCTGTTTTTATTGCCTTTAGGTGTATAAGAAAGCTATCAAAAATCTTTTGCCCACGCCAGCCAAATCTCATTATACATTCAACTTGCGTGACTTTTCACGTGTTATCCATGGCTGTTTGCTCATTAAGAGACATGCAGTTGAAAATAAGCACATAATGATTCGTTTGTTTGTACATGAGGTATTTCGTGTCTTCTATGACCGTCTAGTGGAAGACGATGATAGAGCATGGTTGTTCAATTTAATTAAAGATATTGTGAAAGAACATTTCAAAGAAGCGTTTGATTCAGTTTTTGCACATCTGAGGCAGGAAAACACCCCTGTGAGTATCTCATTTAAGCTGTTGTAAAATCATTGTTTTTGTTAAAAATTTAGGACTAGAACGGTTCTCAATCACAAGTGAGATGTTGGATTAAGTATGCTTGAAAATCAGAGTTGAATTTGGCAAAATGACTTCTTTGAAAAAAATGGGTGAAAATGTTTGGAAGGTGTTTGACTGTCATACATGTATATAAACTTCCTTTTCAAAATAACATTTAATTTAAAATGTAACTTTCAGAGACCTGATTTACTGAGCAGAAAGACATTCCCTTTTTAAATCTAGCCCATCATGTATGAATTATTGTGTGGTAAACTGCATTCTGTAATTGTATCGACATTTTAATATTTTGAATGTTGTATAAGTCATGTCATATTCCTTGACATTCCCCTTCCTCCTCCACCCCCCCACCCCTATTAATTGCTGTATAGAAGAAACAACTTTGTGGTCATCGGTGCCCATTTCATATGTTGAAATTTGTGAAACATACATTGTACAAATTTGTTATAATCTGGCAGTTACTATAATGAGACTATAAATGGCTAATCAGGACAATTATGTTCAATAACATTTTTTTAAAAAGAATATTGTTTAATCTGGGAAATACAGAATTTTGAGGTGGGTGTTGTTTGTGAGTTAAAATATTTTAGTGCTTGTTCTGTTCTCTTGAGTATTTGTCTAAATTCTCCATTCCTTCCTAAAGTTCCTACTGACAAATATTATTATTAAACACTACATTATTTGTTGTATATATACAATAGGTGACAGAAGAAAACATGAGAAGTTTGTTTTTTGGTGACTACATGAATCCAGAACTTGAAGGAGATGAAAGACTTTATGTTGAAATTCCAAACATTCAGCTGTTTGGTGATGTTGTAGAGCAGTGTCTGGATGAATATAATCAAACACACAAAACAGGAATGAACCTTGTGGTTTTCAGGTGTGTACACTCTGTATTATTGTAATACAAAGAGCTCTGAGCAGTAGTTGCTAATTCAGCGTATCCAATTTTGCAGGCTATGTTTTTTGTTTCATCCCCTTTATGTGTTCCTGGCGTTGCACATTTTTGGATGGAAACGAACTAATTTTTCTGCTATGGCTTTGCATTTTTCTATCAGAGAGTAAATAATGAGAAGGTTTTTTTTGTTTGTTTGTTTGTTTGTTTGTTTGTTTTTCTGAGAGACTCTTTGAATGCATTCTTCAGCTGTTACAGAAGCCTTGTGCACCAAATCCAGTGGGTGCTTGACTTCTGCTGGTCTTCTGTTACCAGTGAAGACTGATGTCAGTTTAGCCTGCAGCCATCTCCCTGTTGGTAGAGGTTACTGTGCCTTCATAATTGTCAGTGTAATTTGACATGTAGGTGATCTGTGAAGATGACTAGTTAGTTTATACATGGTTTATTTAGTCTAGGTCATTTTGACAGTCCGGATTTGTAAGTACCTGTATATACAACTGTACTGGGAGTGTGAAGAGCTGACAGCCTCAGATTGAAGGCCTCTTCCTGAGCACAGAAGCAATACCCCAGTTACCTCACAGAAGCGCAGCCAGGAGGAAGGAGAAACATGTCTGACTTTAGCCTTAGAGACCCCTTTCATGGACAGCATCCTCATTTGACTACATTATTTTTCTAATCAATCAAAATGAACAAGACTTCTTTGAAATGCTTCAACTATTTTTAAGACCACTTGGAACTACTCAGCTTACCTTAACTACCCTACACCCCGTGCTTAAGCAAGATCTCCTGTAGATCTTGCTGCATATTCCAAAATAAACCATGGTTGTGTTTCCACAATAGGCAGGGCTCTCAGTGATGTGCAGAAACAGGTTTCTGAAGATGTCATTCCCTTCTATATTTCATATATAAATTATAAAAACATTTGTTTTTATTTCATTTTATCATGGTGTATATAACTCCCTTTCTCACCCTCCATGTGCTTTCAGAAATTTGTTTTGGAGATGGTACTTCTGTACATTTTTAATGGGTTTATTGGTTCACAGGTGTATGTATATTTCTGCCATTCTGGTAATTAACACATTTCACATTTAGGTATGTGTTGGAACATTTATCTCGTATAAGCCGTATACTGAAGCAGTCAGGGGGTAATGCTTTGTTGGTTGGAATGGGAGGAAGTGGACGTCAGTCTTTGACTCGTCTAGCAGCATTTATGTCAAAAATGTGCGTTTTTCAACCAGAGATTTCAAAAACCTATGGCACAAATGAGTGGAGAGAAGATCTGAAAGTGAGTATTAATAACCTGTTTGCATTTTGACTTGATTTTGAAGAAGGATGTTTCGGACTATACAATATTTTAACTGTCTTGCATTTTTAGAGTCTGCTGAAGAATGCAGGTGTAAAGGGCTTGAAAACTGTATTCATAATCACAGACGCACAAATTAAAGAAGAAAGTTTTTTAGAAGACATTGACAGTGTCCTCAACACTGGGGAGGTACCCAATCTTTTTGCGGCAGATGAAAAACAAGAAATTATAGAGGTATCTTTATAACTTCTCTTATTCTCTGTCATCTCCCATTTAAGCTATTTTGTCAGTGCAATACGAAGTATGCCTTAATTCAAAGTGATTTGGGGGTATATGCATTCAATTTCGTGATTTTTTTTGGAGATTTTTAAATCAATCAGCTAGTTATTAGTAAGCTGGAATAGTTTATGCCTACTACAAGCTTTAATTCTGACCTCACACTCTGCTCACAAACCCATTAAGTTGTGCACATAGGGAATGTTGTTCACAAATATGTTAATGTGCTGGGACCATAGTTATTTTTTTACATTATATTGTGCAGAATAAGAATGTACCTCATAATGTTTTCATTTATCCATTCAGGACAAAGATGTATTTTGAGAAAAAAACAGCCTGTCTTTGTCAGTAGACTTTCGTTGTCTAGGGCACTGTTATACAGCATTTCATAGTCTTGACACATCTGATCAGAGAGAAGCTGGGGGAAGGTGCTCCATGAAATCAGGCTTAGAAGTAAAGATGGGAAATTAATAAATAAATAAATATAACCTAAATCATGCTTGGAATTTTCAAAATAACAATCACTGTATGGGGGAGTTGGAGGCATCAATCTCTGTATACCTCAAGTTGCATACAAAATGTGTCCCTTTTACAACTTTACAGTTTGTACAAACATATCCAATTGGTGTATGCTAGCACTTGGTAGCTATCTGTAATATGCCAGCTAGGACAAAGTTACTTGTTACTCATTTAAATTTGCTTCATCAAAATATTTCCACTTTATTGCTAATAATCTGATTTTTGTCATTTACTTTAATTGCAGGGTTATGTAAAGCATACA